CAAGATCCTCTTTTCTGCCAGCCAAGTTGTGGAGATTTTCCAGATTCTCTTCCGGACTTAGGCTCAGTATTAAGGTCCCTGTTCTGATAGTGACTTCTCAAGTAACAAGTCACAGCTGTGGGGGGGGGGGGGGGGGGGCGGGCGGGGAGGGGTTGTAAAGATGTAGAATTTGGGGGCAAGAGGCACTGAGTTAGGGGTTGGCTCCTGTAGACCCAAGTCCTAGACAAGAAAGGTGAAGTGGGACGGGGTGGGGGACCTTAAGTGTTTGTCAAAAATGTAAAGGGGGAACAGGTTGGATGGGAATTGATGCCTGAAGGATTTCCCCAGAGGAAAGCTGCAGCATTTTCCTTACCTCGGGTCTTTCCCCCTCTTTTCTAGGGTTCCAGGACATAGTCTGAGGCAAGATGGAGGGTGTGAGGGGCCTTCACACTTCACTTCATCCCTCTACCCATCACAACATACAAAGCAACTACACCTGGATTTTTCCAAACAACTTTTATTTCCTCAAAGTCTTCCTTAACTATGGAACAAGAAGCTGCCACTGAGTAGGGCCCAGTATAGGGGCTTTCTTTTCTACTCCCTCCCCCCAATATAAAAATATAGATATATATTTTTGTGGTCCCCAAATCTTGTGCTGTGGAGGGAGGGACGGGGTAGCAGGTTTCTGCTCTGTCCTGTCTCAGGGTGATGCTCTGCGATGCCTCAGAACAGTGTGGCTGGTATTCAGTGTTCATTCACACAGGCCTTACGGTTGTCACATGGAAGCCACAGCTGAGGGAAGGGGCTAACACGTTTCTCACTGTGTACCCCGTCTTGGGGCTGTGTCCTGGGCATGAAGATGGAGGCATCAGACCCGGGGAGAAACAGTGAGTGGGGGTGATTTAGAGACAAAACAAACCTCAGGTTGGCCCAAGGGCCCCCCGCTGTAACATATCCGGGACTGGGAGTCAGACAGACTACAGGAAATAGGAGAAAAGGCAGGGGCAGAGTGGGGCCGTGGGGGCCCGGCCTGAGGCAGCCTGCAACAGAGAAGAGACAGGAATCAGGCTTGTGAAAACTCTGCCCCTCTTCTAGTCTGTCTGACAGGCTGGACATGCAAGAGGGGAGATGGCTAACGATAGGTGGGCTGATGCTGGAACAAGCCGGCTCCTGGGCCTTAGGCCCTAACAAGGAGTTGTTTTCTTGTCAACAAACACTGAGGTCATGATGGGAAAAAAATCAGGGACTAGATTCTTATTGAAAGTACCTTTAGTCTTTTGGAGGTCAGAGGAAGTAAGGAAGGAAGAAAATGATCCTGAATGGCAGAAATGGGAAGGAAGGGATAGAAGTGAGAGGTAGGGTGAGGGACTGGACCCGGGTGCTCACCCTGGTGCAGAGCTGGGTCCCGGCTCCGGCTCACTGCTCTCCCTGGTCCAGGGTATAGGGGATGTGGGGCCCGAAGAGCCTCTCATCCCTCTGCAAGTCGGCGGTGAGCCCTGGCCCAACCTGGGCCTAGCCTGTGTGGACAGGGGGTGGGCTGAGAGGCTGGATTCTTCCATTAAGTTTTTTGCTTTTGGTTTTGCTTCTAGACTTTCCGTGCAGAAGAGTGTAGTACAGGGGTCAACACCGGTATGGCGACCTTGAATTTCTGGGCACTGTCCCTAGCTGAGAGGGTAAGGCAGGATCATAGCTAGAGAACTCTTGGGTTTGGTTTATGACTATACACTCTTAAGTCCTGCTTGACTAGGTGAGGCCCAAGGATCTAGCAGTTCACCTCCGAGGCTGTATCATGGCTCACATCTGGCTGAATAGAGAGGCAGTGTTTGGAAAGAGGTTGGAGAGCTGGTGGGTCTCTCTCAGAGCCTTCTGTGCCTCAGTGCCTGCCAGGGCAGCTTAGGCCTCACGCATCCACTCTCTTGTCTGTGCCCAGCTGCGGCCAGTTTAACATGAGCACTCTGGACTGAATCGGGAGTTGGTGGCACAGCTGTTCTTAGGAGCAGCAACCAGATGTGTTACCTGGGGAATCCGGGACCCCTCCTGGCGGGAACTCTCCTCGGGCAGGTCTGGGCAGAAAGAGAGGAGAAGCTAAGGGCAGGGGCAGGCAATGCCAAAGCTAGCAGGCTGAGGTTGGGGGAGATCTGGCAGGGATGCGGATTGGAAGCAAGCAAGAATCCTGGCTGAAGGGCTGGGGGTACTGGACAGACAGGCGCTCGGGCACCAGAGCAGCTCTGATACCGCTGTGGGGAGGCTGTAAAGCAGTGCTGAGCAGTTTCCCTCCCACTACCCCGATGAACAGCGCTGTGCTGGCCTCTGCCAGAGTTGTTACACTGGGGTTTGGGGAAGACCTCAAAATGCTACCTGCAGTCGTGTCCTGATACAGGGGATCCGAGGTCCAGACCCTAGCAGCCCTTTCCCAATCACCATGACAGCCTCTGGCTTGTCCCCTGAGGACAGGAGTGAGCAGCTGCTCCCTAGGAAACAAAACTGGTATCAGGGTAGAGGGCCACGGAGAAGAAGAGGTAACTTCCTTTAGCAGAGGGTTTCTCAGTATTAGCAATATTGATATTTTGGGCTGGATGATTCTCTGTTGTGGGGGCCTGTCTTGTGCATTGCAGAATGGTTAATAGCATTCCTGGCCTCTACCTACTAGATGGCATTTCTTCCTCTGTCCCCTCCCCATTGTAACAACCAAAAATGTCTCCAGACCTTGCCACATGTTCCCTAGTGGGTAAAACGGCCCCTGGGTGAGGAGCACGGCAGGCTCTAGTCTGGTCCAAGGGGTGGAGTAGCAGCTTGCAACTGGAAACACAGCCCATCAAGCTAAACTACTCTATGAATTTGCAGACTTCAGGGCTGCTCCTGTCCAAATGAGTAAGTGTTAAGGATCAAGGCAGTACCCAAGGCTGGTGGCTTGAGGGCTACCCATTGAAGAGAGTTAACAGGTTGGGAGTAGTGGGCTCTGAGAGAGTTAGAAGATGTTGGACTGGAGTCTTGGGAATCATTCCATCCAGTCCTGTACACAGCTGGGTGTATGACTTAAAAGGAGAGCAGGCAGCCTAAAGTTTTATGTGGATGGTATGGTCACACGGTATTTGCCGTGATGACAGGCGAAGGGCCTCGGTCTTTTTTTGTCCTTCAGTTTTGTCCGTTGTTGCCCAGTTCCTGGAGTCAGGAAGCTTGAATCGGGAGCTGACACTCAGGGTCGCAAGTGAGATGATGTGTTTAGAGCAGCCCCTGCCATAGTAGGTGCTCAAGAAATGGTAACTGTTATTTTATTACACAAAGATGTCCGTTAACTTCCAGCTTCCTGTACAAGGGCATGGGTGCTTCAGAGATTTGGGATAATGCAGGAGGAAAACTGATGCCCCTGGTATGGAGAGGCCTGCATTAACCTTCTGCATCAAGTCAAGAAAGAAGAGCTGAAGGGATTGGTTTAAGCCTAGTAGGGAGTCTGGTCTTCACCCTGGGTAGTAGGGAAGGCAGGAGGCTGGCCAACCCAGATTTCGGTGGCAGTGGGTACAGACCTGATACGCTGAGTGAGCCGGGCAGGAGGCAGGAGCCCACGCTGTGTGAGGCTGCTGGGCTAGAACTGGCAGGATTTGAGGACGGGGCCACGCCGCTTGAAGTGGGGCGATGCGTCAGTGGCTGCTGCCGCCGTCTCCTGTCCTGGCTTCGGGGCTCTGAGGGGAAGGGACACAAGGGGATTAAAGGGCAAGTAAGTGAGGCCCTGTCACTCCAGTGCCCTGCTGGCCCTCGCGCTTGTCCTCACACCGCCACCCCTCTCTGGAAGTAAATCTAAGGTGGGTGGAAAGACCTCCGCTGTTTATTCCAGTTACCCGAGTCACAGCAAGCCCTCACCCTCCTCTCTGAGCATCCACCCTGCTCCCTCGCCCCTTCATTCTGGCAGGGAGGTTACAGAGCCTGGCTTCTGACACACGACTTCCCCAGGCGGCTCCCAGCTCTAACCACTCCCTTCAACTACTCTTCCTGCCCCCAAATGCCAGTGCCCCTCCCCCATCCTATCCTTGGTCCCCTCCTGCCACGCATACTCTCCCCTCCCAAGCTGCTCTGGAGCCCTCTCTCCTGAGCTGCAGCCCAGGGGCCCAGTGGCATCTCTGCCTGGCAGTCTCCACGACCCCAGCAAAACCAATCTCCCATCCTTGCCTTTGTTCTCCTTATGTTGGTGAAAAATGCGCTAGAAACCACAGTGTCCTCTTCTGACTCCTCCCTCACATTTCGATGTGTATTTAACCAAACTTGGACAGTTCTGCCTCTGCTTTTGCTTGGATTCCTCCATTCTCCCTTGCCATGGCCAGTGTCCAGCTATAGGCTTTTCTCATTCAAGCTTTTGAAAAAAATTCCCCACTTGTCGCCCTTGCTTGAATCTGTTCCCTTTTACGACCGCAGTGTTCACACGGGTGCCAGAAATTACTTCAAAACGTAGACCTGATCAAAAGTCATTTGGCTTAGGCAAGGGGAGATACTGAAGGTCTTTTCAAGGATAAAGCCTCAACCTTTTACTGTGGCATTCAGTGCTCCACCCACTGTGGTTCCAGTCTGCCCATCCTTGGTAGGAGGCCGACTTGGTCCTTCACACCCTCTGCTATAGCCCCTGTAGCTGCTAGCTGCGTGGTTCCTCTGCAGTGTCTGTTTCCTCTTCTAGTGAAACCTGGGACATCGTAACATGTCCCATCTCAAGTGTCACCTCTGGGAGGCCTCCTTGACATGACAGGTAGAACTGACTGTTTCTCCCTTTATTGTCCTTTGTTCACTTGGGTAGTAATTATTTATGGTTTTTGTCTCCTTACTAAGTTAGTACATGTACTATACTAAGTTAGTACATGTACAGTACTATGATCAAGCCTGGTACCTGGTACTCAATAATTGTTCACTAATATTCTGCTTGAAATTGGAATCTCTTGAGGGTAAGGACCTTGTCTTCTCCAGTCTGTATATCCTGGTGCCTACAAAAAGCTGCCTAGAAAACCAGAGACTTTAGGAAAGGTTTTGTCTTCCCGAATAGCAGACACCCACCATAGACCATGGGCTGGCTCAGTAATCTCCCTGAGTCTAAGGACATATGCTCTGCCCTGTGGGGCAGCTCTTCCTGGTCCACTCTGTGGCTAGAGCCTCACTGCTACAAGTTTTGAGAGCAGATGGTGACTGGATGGTGTTGGGAGGCTCTCAGGTCCTTCTCATCACAGAGGGATGGTGGGTGCCAAATGCTCTCAGACTGAATGAGCTATTAACCTTCATGGAGCTGAAGTCAATGGAGGTCCCAGCATGACACTTGGCCTCTAACAAAGCAACATGTATTAGATGGAAAACACCTCTAATTCAAGAAGTAGGTGACAATAATCAATGTTGGCCAGCTATAATGAGCAGTAGCCAGCAGTGACAAGACTACTTTTGGAAGTCCCAAACTCAGTTTTTAAAAATTGACACATGAATAAGGAACAGATGAAAAGGAGAGATTTCAGGACAGAAGCTACTCTAGCTTTGAGGCATTTGCTGAGAGGCTGGGTACCAGTTAGAGTACCAATTAGAGCCAAGAGTCAAAGCTAACCAGACCGTCAATTATAAGTCAATAATAAACAATAACAACAAACAGACCTTAGGGTACGAAAGAGGCGACACGCAGTGAAAGAACAGAAGTCAGAGACTCCTGGCCACAGTCAGCCTGAATCATTACTGCCAATGTCTTAGAAATACTGTAGAACCCAGTATTCTTTAGTAAAACACTGATTCTTTAATAAAACACTAATATCAAGTGATTCTTTAGTAAAACACTGGTATCAAGATGATATCCAGATGACAGTGTATAGGAGGCAGAAATGAACTTGATCAAGGATGGAAATAGGTTCTTGATGATTTGAGTATCTCTACACAGAGGCATTTTGAAATCATGTTAAGGAGGAAGCCTCACCCACCCCAGGAAAGGTAAGAAGGAGAGCAAGTAAGAAAGCAAATGAGAGGCTTTAGGACATTTCTAGGTTGTAGTAAGAAACCAAGTAACACTCAGGAAGGTATGAAGCAGAACAGGCTTATGATATAAAAAATGTCAGTGTGAATATAAGTATTATGGGAAAGATACTATGGATACAACTCAAGAATTCTGCTCCTAATAGAGTTTAAGGATAGGAGACCAGTCTGGTGTAGGAAAGGCCTAATAATGGAAAGGATAAGGCATCTAAAGATAGCATTTTAACCTTCACCTAAAGGATTTTTTTTTTTTTTTTTAAGAGAGCACATGTGCACTGGGGGAGGGTTAGGGGGACAAGCAGAGGGAAAGAGAATCCCAAGCAGGCTCCACACCCAATGCAGAGCCCAATGTAGGGCTCAATCCTACAACCCTGGGATTGTGACCTGAGCTGAAATCAAGTTGAATGCTCAACTGATTGAGCCACCCAGGCATCCCTTAAAAGACTGTCTTAAAGCCTGGCCAGGCCTGCCTGTAAATTTGGCAATGTGAGCACACAGCCCCATTTCTCATGTTTTGACTTTTGCCCCCATATAATCCAGGCCTGCTCGGTCCCCATTGAGACAAGGATTTGAGGGAGGAGCCCCAGCTGTTAGTTCTTGGTTCTAAGCTATAGAAACAGTGGCTTGAGGCTGGGGGGAGAGTGATATGTGAGTCAGCTCTGCTTCCAGAGGTGGTGAGATTGTATTTTATGGTAATCAACTGTAGATTCCATTTGGGGAGCAGTAGGAGAATCCTGGCAGAGGTCTGAGGTAGAGCCACACTGATCTCCCCAGTGTAGGAGTTAGAATGGATATTCTAAAGGTCTCAAAATGTAAAGAACAGTCATTTGACTTGGCATCTTTGAACGGTCCCTACATGGAGCACCCTAGGTCGTACTGAATCCCTGTGATGATTGCAGACCGGATTTATGTCCTCTAAGGGGGGAAAAGGCGAGACAAGCATCATTCAGCTCCCAACTTCTTTTATCCATTTGAAAAGTATTCACTGATCATTGCATAAATGCAAGGTACTAAGGGAATAAGTAGATGTGTGGGGAAATATTTCCTGCCCCCAGGCTTTAATCTACCACAAAACTTGGTTGCAGTGAAAAAAGTAAAAGTAGTGATGGTGCTGGAGGCATTCTTCCTCTGTCCTTTGACTCACTTTTCAGAGGAACCTCTACTCACCATTGGACTTGCCCAGCAGCAGCCTTTGGCTGAGCCATGGCATGGCCGAGGCCAGGACAGAGTTCTAGTAACTGCAGGTACCAGAGCTGGGTGGGAGGACAGTGGCCGTGGCAGGAGGACAGCTGACAGCCTCCGTTTTTACACTGTCCCTTGTCTTACATCAGGGTCCTGCCGGGAAGGCCAGAGGGCCAGGGAATGTGTTTCAGTTACTGGGTGGAACTTGCCTGACTCCAAGGCCGGGACTAGGATGAGGTGCCTGGGGTGCAGCCCGCCCTGAGTCCTGGGTGCCCCACCGGCCTCACCTTAGCCCCGTGCCCTGCATGACCGACAGGAGAAACTGGTTGACTTATCCACCCTCACCCCAGCAGGACTTCCTTCAGGCTCTGTTTTGCTCCAGTATCTTGCAGGCTTTTGACTTCCTACTTCCTGACTCAGTCACTGGACCAGCTACTCCCGGGAGCTGGCCTTCCTCTGCAGCAACAGCTGCTGCTGTGTGTCCTGCGCCCACTGGCCGGGCACCTGGCTGCATAACTGGGAAGGTGCTGCTCAGGATGTGTTTTGCAGCTGGGGGAACTAGGTAAATAAGCTCCTGGCACTGCGGTCACAGGATGGGGGTGGGGTGGGGTCCAGCCTCCTTGCAGCCCTTGTAGTGTCCTGTCTCTGGAGCATTCCTGTTCACCCTGAGTTGCCTTGCCTGGTGGCCTCCTAAAATGTTCATTCTCCAGTCTTGAGAATAGAACCTGCCAGCCTAGTTCCCTAACCTCTGCTTTAAGCTTCTGGCTGGGCTGCCTAGATCTTTTCTGAAATTTTCTGGATAAGCCCAGTCTTCTGCTCTGTTCTGGCCAGTAAAGGATAGTCATGAATTAAGTATACAGTTAAATGTGATATTTTTATACATGGGGAAGTTTCTTCTAAATTTACAAGTAAGAAGGAAATGTTTTATCAGATCACAATCTCAGTTTGGGCTTTGGAAAGTATAGCAGCTTTATAGTTAGATCTTAGAGATATGGGAGTTGTGTTCTTCCTATCTCAAAAGACAAAGTATGCCTGGATGTGGCAGGGGCCAAAGAGCCAGATGTGCGGAACCAGGAACTCGCACAAAGCTACAGGACAGATCAACTGGACAAATGAAGCTGTTTTTCTGAGGGCTGGTTAAAGATGCCAAGTCCCAATACCACAGTCTGCACTGCAGGTCCCCATCCTAAGCCGGGGCTAGTCTCCAGGCCTGGAGTCCTCTCAGGCACTCCGGGGGATGAAGCAGCAAAAACTGTAGCACCTGGAGTCAAGATTCCAGCGCTCTGACCTTTCACCTCCTTCCATTATTCCTGTTTGGTATAATTAGTAACCTTCTTCTGAACACTTTGACTTTGGAGACATAGTTTGTTAGGTGTCACAAGTTGTACACAAGTCCCCAGGGTGTCTCTTCTTTAAGCCACCTCCTTTTTTCTGCCTCTTAACTCATGTACCTGGGGGATATCACTTCTCACGTGTTTTACCCACACCTGTGTATGGATGATGCCTAGATCCAACCTTGATGCCACCTTTTCTACAGGCTGGCTCTTTTTTCTGCCTGCGGGACATCTCCATAGAGATAGCCCATGACATCCAAGCATGTCTAAAATAGATAAACTCTACACTTTTTCTTCCAAACAATGTCTTAACATCACCATGACTCTTCCCTTTGGGTTGTAACCTTGAAACTCTTAGTTTGCCTCTCTTCCACCATCACTGAATCCTGCTACCTCTGTTTCCGATGCACATATTTATCTCTCCATTCCAGACCTGGTACAGCCATTAGTTATCTCCTGTATCAGTTACTGTGAGGATTCCCCTCCCCCTGCCTGTCCAATGCATACAACAGTTCACAGGCCACTCTTGCATAAATCTTCTGTTCCCATCATTCTCTGAAGCACGCAATCATCCTGTGTCTCAGTTAACTCATCATCTTTGTTTTCAAGACATTTCAACTTCATCCTCCAACCTCTCTCCACCCAATTTCTGTGCTGAAGGGCTTGGCCCTTTGCGCCAGCTCGGTCTGTCTGCTTCTTGTCCTCTCTGCACAGCAGCACTGACCCTGGCTACCACTCTCAGCTCTGGAATGTTCTGGTCAAGCCATACGCCACAATCCATTCTTCAAAATCATTGCTCAACTGAACATTCTTTGGCCACTTACTCTTGAGTGGTCCATGACGGTGGCTCCCCCAGTGCCCTGTGTTTATGACATAGTGTGATTTTATGTTGTTTACTGTCCTGTGTCCCCTGTTAAATTTCAAGTCAGTCAACCAGGAAATACTTAGTACTGAATATGTACCTTTTCTCTTCATTACTTGGGGAAGTAACAAAGACAAGAGAATACATGTCTCTCACTGATGGAGCTTCATACAGCACTCTGCATTGGGGTGGGGGCTGAGGACGATAATAAAGTACTGATGAAAAACTGCTCAGGATCCTCCAGTGAGGACCTGGGCCTAGAGAAGACTCTTTCCTATTTCTCTTTTGTAGTCAGGGAAGGGGAATTTAGGGCGCTGACATCCCTTCCTGGGAGCTATGAGTGAAGAGGTAGGAGAGGCTGACAAAAAGAAAAAAAAAAACAACAAAGAAACAAAGAAAAGAAATTAGAGAAGTCTGAATAATGGTAAGTGAATAACTTCGCCACCTAATAGCTGTGATCTCTTGGACAAATCACTTTTAAACAGCCTCAGTTTTCTTATCAGAAAAATGGAAATACCGTCCACCGAACAGGGTCCTTATGAGGATTAAATGAAATATATACGTGATACTGTTTTGTTCACTGTTTAATGCTATTTAAATACACGGCAGTATTAGTAGTTTAATGCTCTCCTTCAAATACACTGTACAAAAGCATCCTCTCCAAATGGGAGAATCTCACGTGGAATAGAGGCAGGGGCAAGTGTGTTGCTCACCAGGGACAAACCGTCTTACTGCTCAAAGCTGCTAAGGACACTGCTCTCCCCGCTGCGGCTGCTCCAGCCAGGGCAGTCAGAGGCCCACAGCCACCGCCCAGGGCACGCTGCGGGTCTGCACCAGGGAGCGCTAATGAGGAGTGCGGCCTGGAGCTAAGCAGAGCTCTTAGTTCCAGCTTACGAGCCTCCAAACTCTGGCAGGGTGTCTCAAGCTCAGAGGCCACATACAATACTGATTTGGGGTTTAGTGTATTTCAGGAAGTAGCACTATAACACTCTCTCCCCACCAAAGTCTGAGTCACCCCCAAGGAATGGCTCCATGGTCTCTTCCTCTTCTATTTCCCTAAAAGCCCATCTGTTTCTGGTATACATTTGAACCCACACTCTCTCATCAGGCAGGGTCTCATCAAGCCAACCCTAGGGGTACTGATGCAAAGGTAAGCGGCAGTGGCCATGGCTGGAAGGGGCCAGACTGTTGTACTGTAAGCCTCAAACAGAAGCTGTCTGTACTTGTTCCGTTTTTCTCTGGAAGGCTTAGAATCCTTCTGCGACCATGTTCTGAACAGGCTCTGAAGCCAAGAACAGTTTCCTCCCATAGAGACCTTGAAGAGGGGTCGCCATCCTGCAGTGCTGCAGTGTGCATGCTGAGGACAGTTCCTCATACTGCTCCTGACAGGACTGGCTGACCCCATTCTTGATTCGGAGGCTCCACATTTCAGTGTGGCCCTGTCGCGGCTAGTGTTCTGTCCTTGTAAATCACCCTGCTTCCCAGCACGTGCTGAAGCCCAGGTGTCCAGGACTCTCCTGCCTGTGCCACACACAGTACTGCTCTGGGGCTCATGGCGCAGGGAACACCAAGGTCGCAGGAGAGGCTGCAGATTCTGCTATAAACTAATTTTATTGATTCACCTCTTGGTCCCAGCCAAGTGTGCATCTTCAAGCTCTTACTTCCCCCAGCAATTCCCCAAACAACTGAACACCTGTTGCAGGGGCTCCCAGACTGGCTTACCTCTGACGGGGCCCAGCACCCGGTGGCTGACCTTTTGAGTGCTAGAGCCCAGGCCTGGCAGCCCTGAGGGCCGACTGCCATGAAAAGGAAAGCTGGGGGAGTTCTTCATCTGTGGAGAGTTCTGCTGGCTGCCAGCGCCTGTGCCGGTGCTAAAGCTGCGTGCGCGGCTCAAGGGCGTTTCGGAGCAGGAGGCCGGCAGGCCGCTGTGGGGAAGCAAGCGGGTGCCAGTGAGCCCTGGGCCAGGGAGGCTGTGTCCCAAGGCTTTACCCGGGCTCTCATGCTCAGTACCGCTGCACCTCGGGTGGAAAGGCACAGGGGCTCACTGCAAGGCATAGGGGAGGAATCTGTGTCCACAGACGGGGTGTCTAACCTGGAACACACCAGCTGATCTTAGAATGCCTGGGAGGCCCTGTTCACATATACGTGCTCCTGCAGAAAACACGCTAAGGGCTATGGGGCTGTCTCGGGGCAGCTTAGCTCATAGTGAATTCCCCTCCTTATTCCCTTGACGCTGGCCCTTGGAGCCCTTGGTCATCCCCAACCACTGGAGGTCAAGACCTGCCCCTACCCACACAGCCCCCCTCCCCCACCAATTATATTTAATTTTGTGCCAGGCTCTGGAGCAGGGAATCCCCTGGCCTGGTTTTCAGATGCCTAGAAGTTTGTAGCTCCAGGGAAGAGGGAAGAGGATCCCATTTTCAAAAAGTGTACTCATCTTACCAATTTTAATTTGCTCTGAAAATACTCACCACGTGGCCCTTTTGGAGAAGGGAGGAACACAAATCCCTGGGAACTCCTTGCTCTGGAGCCCTGCTGCACTCACCTACCCTTTCCTCCATCCACCCTGCGGGTCTTACTTGTTACTTTTGGGTGGAGTTCGAGAGCCTCTCTTCTTGCTGCCGCCCACGTTCGCAGAGCTGCTCAGGCCCCGGCTGGTGCGCACGTGCTTCAGCAGCCAGGCGCGGAGGTTCGTGAGGCTGCTGTGCTCCGACAGCACAATCCGGGGCCACGGGTTGCACTCCGCCATGTCCAGAGCCGCAATGGCCATAGCGCGGCCCACCTGTGGGATAATCCAGTTTGGCTCAGCGTCTGGGACTTCCTTCCAGCCCGGGTTGCTGAGCTGGGGTGGGCTGCATGGCACAGTGGAAGGGGAGGGGAGGCCGGGCCCCAAATCTCCTCAGTAGGTACCCTACATTTTGTGCCAGGACTGTTTATCTCGGCAGATTTAAAGCCGTTCCCTAAACCGGTGCTCATTTTGGGACCCTCATCCTTTATGGGCAAGAGCAAGTGTGCTTTCTGGCTGGCGCCAGGAAGGGACGCTCCCAGGAGGAGGAGGTGTTTCAATCTCTTCTATAACCTGCAGCTCTGTCTACTTGCCCTGTGTGCCCTAGGACCCTGGGGTCCTCAAGACCACTGTAGAGGTGCTGCTATTAAGCCCAGGAGTGAACAAACCCAATAAAAGGAGGAAGACAAGCTCAAAAGGCAAAGACTCTGACTCAGATGCGCTGGGGATTCTCCACGGTGTGAACTCAGAAAGAGTGCCTCCTTGGTCTCCCCCCACCATCAGAGTCAGGGGCCTGCCCCTATGTTAGCTGCGGAAAATACCCACAGCAGTGAGATGGTGACAGTAGTAAGCCTCTCTTCAGAGGGCCTTAGTTGGCAGGAGTGGAGACCCTTCCAGATTTGGAGGCTCCCCCTTTCCCCAGGTATCCCGTGTTCATACCTGCTCAAACAGTTCCACAGTGTATCTGGAGGGGAAAGCCGGCGGGGGAGGGGGGCTGGCCCGCCCGTTGTCATGGCAGGCCGCAGGGATGCTGTTTACTGAGCGTCCAGTGTTGTAGTTGCATTCAAGTGTGTAGCTAAGACACAGAGACCTTTATTAGTGTCCTGCCCTGACAAAATCAGGACAGAACCATGGAGGACTACCTGGGTGGTCTAAGGAGTAATCACTTGGAAAAGGGTGGATACAAACAGAAAAGTGCTAATCACTAGGAACTAGCAATTGACCTCGGCACTGTGTCATGTGCCCAAGAAGTCCTAAGAAAGTCAGCCTCTCAGGCTAGACAGTAATGCTGATGGTGAGCCTGTCTTTTGAGAAGACTTGGGTCGTCCCCTGCTCCTCAAACACCTTAGACTGGGTACGGTTTTCTTTAAGGAAGTTACTGCATCAGCTAGATCCCAGTTTCCCCCCAACCTGTGGATTATCCCTGAGGCTTTGTAGATTGCAACCCGGCCGCTTCCCTCCTTAGACTGGCCGTCTCTGCGGTCTCGGGCATACATGTTCTTCTCTGAGAAATTGCAACCCTGGAAGTCGAAGTGTGCTGAGTTCAAGGAGATGAGCTTTGGATACAGCATATTTTCCACCTGTTTGAGGGAGAAACAAGGCAATTCAGGAGAGACGGACAGAAAGAAGGAAGGGGCAAGCAGGGGGCCATGTGACTAAGGTCACGGCAGATACCATTACAGCCATCAGCATAGCCAGCGTTTTTTGAATGTTACTGTGTGCTTGATGTTATTTCCAGGTACACTTCTATCTCTTTTTAAGCTCTTAACTTCTCTCCAATAATGCACACTTTTCCTATTTCCCTGATATCCCATACCGTAGAATAAAGACTACGATGGTGACAGCTTGGCCTTTGTTCCAAGGTCATGAGGTAAAGACAGACACAGAGCCCAAGCGCCACCCCCCCCTTGGCCCTCTGAAGCTTGCCTCTGAAGAGGGAGAATACCTCTTGCAGCCACAGGCCTTCCTACCACAAGACCACCTTCCCTCTGTCCGTGGCCTAACCTTTATCTCCTGACCTGCACCGTTGCCCACGCTCACATGGCACTCTGTGGATTCCTACCTGGGTGCTCTCGTCACTAAAGCTGTTTCCGTACATGAAACAGCCCCTTTTGGAAGCATGTCCATGCAGGTCCACATAGTAAGCCACGCCACTCTCTCGTGGGGGGATGGCGTCGGCCGCCGGCTGCGCAACCTCGGCGGACTGGTGTGGCAGAATCCACATGCCGCTGGGCTTCTGTTCTGCCGCTTCAGTCTGCGTCCAGCCTTCAGGGTTATCCCTGTCAGGTGCATGCCCAAGGTGAGCTTCGTTCTGGATATTGTTGGTTTTCTCGAGGTCAGAGAGGGGAGCATCGGGAGGGAGACGGGGACTGTGCTGGTGCTCGGAGGGACTCTGGGAGTTTAGTCTGGAGTGCACATGGTGGTAGAGAAGCACAGTTTTGGCCCCATAGATGGCTGGGTGCAGGACTGCATCGGGCTTCAGGTACTGACGGTTCAGGTTCACTCCACGCGAGTCTGTGCTGTAGGAAAATAGAGACTGAGGCAGAGTCCAGAGCGCGGGGCCAGTGAAGGCGACATGAGAGTCGATGAAAGGGGGGCTGTGGGAGGCTGACTTATACAATGAGAGGCCCAGGTTGCACTAGGAAAGAATGAATGAGAACAGGCCCTCTATTTGGTGGGCTGTCACCCCGACCACAGAGAGCTACGCACGCTCCCTCTACCCAGACTGCGGTTATTCTAACTCTACTCCTTCCAGAGAGTGCCGCTAGATGTGCCGCGTTCCTCCTCTGTCACTGGACGATGAGATGGGCTTGCCCTTGTCCGGGTGCCAGAGGATTGGAAATACAGAAGAAGTTAAAGGAGAGGCTGCTAGTATTTCACTGAGATGGAGGGCCTGGAACAATCCTGACAGGCCAGGGAGGCTTCTTACCGGTAGTGGCCCCGGACCACACCATCAGGGTTCAACATGGGAATCAGCTTAAAGACAAAGAGGCGACGAAGGGTTTGGGCCCGGGGGTCATCAGGTCGAAGGATGAAGTCCAGAAAGCCATTGAAGACAAAGCTAGATGGAGTCTCCCCAGGGTGCACCCTACTGCTTAAGAAGAATATCTGAGGTGGAGAGGAGAGCGGTCATTAGGCCAGTTACTTGCTAGGTCCACTCTAACAGTACACTGAGGGGGGGGGCAGGCCCTCTAACAGTATATGGGGGGGACTCTAACAGTACACAGGGGAACAGGCATTCTAACAGTACAGTGGGGGGCCTCTAATAGTATACAGGGTGTGGACATTCTAACAGTATATTGGGAGGGGCCCAGGAAGTGGAGGGGAGCAGTCACACTTGCCTCCAAATGCAGGCTAAGGCCATGGCCAAGACACCCAGAGGTAACATGGCCGCAGGCTATCAACAGGGCCGGGAGCTAAGGAAATGCCACAGTACTATCTTTATGCTGTTCCCACTTACCCTCTTGCCTGTGAAACGGAATGGTCGAGGAGTGCCGGTATCCGGAAATAGCTGCTCTAGCCGGGGCTCTCGATCTTCTCGAAGCCCATGGCAGGAAGTGATCGTTAGCAGATCTACACGAAGTCCATCCAAAGAATAGCAAAGAATCTCACGGTGGTAATAAATGGTGTCCAGGGGGCTGTGGGGATAAAAGTCATTATCCCCAGGAGAAGTCCCTCAAGTCCTGGATAAAGGTGAGTCTTTAGACTGCTCTTTCACTCTAACCTTTGGGGCCTTATAGTCCCTCATGGTGTTAAATGAGGTTGAGGATTTGGGCGGAGACTGAATTACTAGAACGTGGAATATAAGACAGGAGGAACACGCTGTTTTCTCCCCAGTTTATGGCTCTCTACCATGGATTACTTTGTACACAGAATCGCCCTCTGCTGGGACAGAAAAAAAAGGTGTGCTGAGCAATGGCAGTGCTAAGTTCGGGATAACTGATGGGAGCTCGGATATCAAGAGGCTTGAACTGGGCAGGTGGATGAGTAGAATGCAGGTGGTGGTATCCTGAGGTCATGGTCACACAGAAGCATATTTGTCAAAGGCACCCAAAGTCCCACATTCTGTACAGAAAAGCAACTGGTGACATTTTGGTTGGGGGCTCCTGGGGCAAGTTCCAGAGGTGCTGTCTGGTCGAGGACTGAGCGGCAAGGAGTTAAGGGTGGGGTTGGCACCTGCTATGGGTAGGGTGGTTCTCCAGAAAGCGCTGGTCTAGCTGGTTTAGCAAATCCTGGCAGTCACTGTAGGAGAAGGGGTAGCAGAAGGCGAAGAAGGTGGTGGCCCCACGGCCCTCCACGAAACGGTGGACAAAGGATAACACAAACTGCGTCTCTGTCATCTGAGGAGCAGAGGAGGAAGAGGGAGGGGCTGTTGGTGTGAGAACTAAGCTCCTACCGGGATCCCCAGGAGCTGACCCTACACCCTCAACACACTGCCCGACTTCCCTCCCTCTGGGACTTGCCACGTGACAATCGGCTCCTGGTAGGCTTCCCGAGGCAGGGGCTTATCTGGGCTCCAGCCAGCACTAGAGGGGAAGCCGGTACCAAAACCCTGGTGTCCCACCTGCCTGCTCCTCTGTGGCGAGGGGAACTCCCCTCTCCTTTCCCTCTCCTACTTTTAGCACCCAAGTCTGCCTTTTCTCCTCATGGAGAACTTACCTCAAAGGTGGGCCGATCTCGGATGCGTTCCCAGCGTGGCCGGGTGGGCAGCGTGCGCACAAAGGGGGCCATGCCCTGGGAATACAGCTTGCTTTGCTTATTCATGTTCATAATGTTGATCTTGATGAGTTTCCCTGGAGTTCCTCCCCGGACACTGAAGTAGAACCATGACCTGAGGGCCCGAGGAGGAGGAACTGGTCATTATATACTGAGGGCTGGAGAGAGGCTACATGGGACAGCTGGAGCGGGCGAGACTGGCAAAGGCCTATTCAGTACAGAGGGGGCAGGGAGGGGGGGTGGAGAGGAAGGGTACCAGTGGTATGCACTGTAAGGCTGCTAAGTGAGACCCTCCAGCCGTTTCCCCTTACCTGTTCCCATTCTCAAATTCCGTTTCAGCACAGTCTGGACGGGTCCACACGTTGAACTCATAGTCAGGAGAGGAGGCGATGCTGCTGCTGGGGGCTGATGCCCCCCCACCTGCTGCTCCTTCCCCCTCACTAGACGCAGATTCCACCTTCTCCACATGGGCTAGGTTCCCTGAATCAAAGCGAGAACTGAACAGCAGTCCCCCGCAGCGCAGCTCCATGGTGAGGCCGGGAAAGCATCCTCCTGCCCACTCTGGCCCTGAGAGCTGGGGCGAGGTGGGGGGTGGCGCAGGAAGAAGGAAGAACAATGAAAACGAGTGTTTTGGGAACCTCCTGATAAACGAAAGCTGTTCTTAGGGGGTGCCCTAAGAAGCAGGAGGCTCTTTGCACCTCAGAAAAGGCAGAAGTGGCCTTCTAGCAAAGGCTAAGAGAAAACGGGATTCTATCCCCACACAAAGGGTTATGACTGACCTAAAGGGACTCCGTTTGGCTCCAGCTCAGCTATTCCAAAATGAAGTACTCCGTGGCTTAACTATGTTGAAAAATGCTAGAGTCCAAATTGCTTTGCAGCCCAAAGACTAGAGGATAACACTGGAGGGGGCAGATTTCCCAAGCCTAGCCCAGGTACACCCACCACGACACATGGCCATCTTTCAAAACGGGCCGTCCTGGATCTCTCGTTCCTAGACAGGCTCCCCACTCTGCAGCAGGGCAGAGCAGCGGCGAGAGCCAAGATTCTAAGTTTTCAATGGGCAGCTGCTTCTCTCCACTCCTCTGTCCTCACAAGTACTGACCAGGCACCGTCTGTTGCTTCCCTGAACCCTCCGGAAGGGCTAGTTCTTCCTTTTTTGTTACTACCCTACGCCTATTAATGGAAGAAAACTGGAAAGCTATGGCCTTTGCCAAGTCAAAAGGAACAAGGCAGAAGCCACCTGCTCACCTGAAAACCGTAGTTCGGTTCCAGGTAGGGCATGGGTCTGTTTCCAGCCCCCTCCCGCCCTGTAAAGCACTGGAGTCCCTGAATAAAGCTACGCTGGCAGTCGTTGTGGGTAAGCGATGGGTATTCTGAGCACCCCTAAAAACGTGGCTGGTAGAGACCCACTAGGGGGTAAGGGGTGATTCTCAACCCTCGACTCTGACAGACCCTCACCTCACACTGACCGAGCTCGCCGTCGGCAGGGTGGGGTTCGGAGGCATGAATGGACGACACTGACCCACACTCGGGGCAGGGACTGGGGGGGGGTGAGAGGTGTGGGGGTGGGGCCGGGGAGGCCGGGGCTGGGGGGCGGGGCGGGGCGGGCCGGCCGGACCGGGCCGGGCCGAGGGGCGGGGTGGCATTCCAGAGGGGCTCCGGGCTGAAAGGGGCTGAGAAGGGGGCGGGGCCGGCGGGGCCCGCGCTCCTCGCAGCGCCCCTCACCTCTCTCGGGGCCGGCGATCCCGCTCCCTCTCCCGTTAGCGAGGCGCCACCTCGGGCCCCGGCACCCGGGCCCTCCACCCAGGACCCAAGCAAAACCCGAGCGCCGCGGTGCCGGGACCCCGCTCTGCCAGGAAACAAGAAGTCTCTCGCCTATTGGCCGCGGATACAGCTGGCTACCCGCCCAGTAAGGCTCGCTGCCATTGGTCGGCACGCAGGGGTTCCCTCGCACGTTAGCGGGTACCTGAGCCAGTGGCGTTTGGGGGCTCGGCGGGCCGATCCGGCCAGAGGGTTCCACCCGGGTCTTCTCAGAAGACGGTTAACGGCCCGTCCCCCCGGGGGAGGAGAAGACCAAAGTGACCAAGAAATAAACTGGAAGACTCACCTGCAAAATAAAATCACAGTGTGCGAAGCTAATTATTGCGCACCGCGCTCCTCTGTGTATCGCAAAACACCTTCCCGGGTCCACGAATCTCTCGCAGTTCAGGGATCCTCTGGTACCGACACACGAGGCAAAAAGCCTGAGTGGAGGATGCGGGCATCGATCCCGCTACCTCTCGCATGCTAAGCGAGCGCTCTACCATTTGAGCTAATCCCCCGCCTGCTGCCGCTTCCTTTCATTTTGCCTTACAGGCTGTTCTAGGCTGGCCGCTGACCCGAGGACCGACCGCACTTCAAGATATTTATCTAGTAGTGTGCAGTGGGATTGTGGGCAAGATTTTTAAAAGCAGGCGTATAATAACCACACGTCAGCAATAGTAATAACATATCTTCGCATTTAACCCACAAGAGAACTGGATTGTACAGTGCCTCCGTACTGCATATGTGTTTCACCGAACATCTGTCGTGCTCGTGCAAATCCACAACGAAACTTTCTCCCTATGGGATGACTGAAGGAAGTGGAGGCTAAAAAGATTGTACGAAGTCCTTCGAGCCGGAATCGAACCAGCGACCTAAGGATTGCCGCAACTCATACCACTACAGTCCTCCGCTCTACCAACTGAGCTATCGAAGGCTCCGCTGCTCCTGGCCCCTGCCAATTCCTCCCTAATGCTTACCGAGGCCATACTACCCTGACAAGATCTAGAAGATTTGGGGGAAAACTCCCCACTGCGCTTTATGAAGGAGCTCGCCCGCCGAGCCCCTTCAAGGCGCACAAAAACAAAGGAAGGCAGAAACAAGTTCGAGCAAAGGACCCGCTTCCCAATTCTGGACAAAGGAAACGGGCAATACGTTTCCCCTCCATGTCTCTGTTTTAAAAACAGAACAGAACAAAACAAAACAAAACAAAACAAAACAAAAACCCCACACCTCTTCACCTCCCGTGGCTTTTACAGGATTGCGGACGCTTTGAGATCCCGCTCGCAACCTTGAGCATTTCCCGTGCTTCGCGGGCACGCACATGTGCTCTGCAATTGCAAAGCCTAAGTGCAGTTTGCAAAGCCGAGGGCTTGCTTTCGCTATTTCCTTCAGATTTCCCTTCGGTGTCTTGGGGACGCCAGTAAAATCCTACTGCTCTCCGGATGTGAAGGACATTCTTTGGGTCAGTTAACATTCTGTCAGAATTTTTTCGTTCTGGCTGGTGCATAAAACATAACAAACCACAGAGCTGCTCGCTGCGCGCAGGACAGCGAACCTCGGGCCGCGCAGAAATCCTGCGATTCGGGACTGGCCGCGGGCGCGGAGCGGGGTCCTGAGCGAGGTCCTGCCCCTGGACCCTACCTCGCCACACCTCCCCTCCTCTTTCCGGGGGCCTGGCCCGCCAGCCTGCAATCCTCTGTCCGCTAGAATTTCCTGGGGGCTTTGGAACGAACCTAAAATCCAACTCCCCTATGAAGCCTTGCTTCGTGGTCTGGCGGAGTGCAAGTGTGGGGACACCTGGACCATTTCCAGCTCTGCGGACCGGGCTACCTGGAGTCACGGTCGCCCTGGGTAAATCCAGGTCCCGTGAAGGTTTCAGGCCCCGTTGCAGCTTACACTTTAAATCCGAGGTCTCTGATGTCATTGAGCACAACAGGGCTTTCACCCCTGCGCCCACCCACGGAGCAGGACGTTACCATCTTCCCACCGATTTCTTAGTTTAATTTCATTCTGCTGCTGCAAATGCTACCGCTGTGTCCAAAACTGCTTATTTGGGCAGTTTTCTTGGCCCGGTCTTTAGTGTGCCCATTGGCTCTCTTTCTTGAGGGGAGGAGATGCTGGTAAACCGAAGGTTTTGTTGTGGTGGTGGTGGTGGTGGTTTTGTTGTTGTTGTTGTTGTTTGTTTTTAAAGACGAGATTCCCATAACATACAATTAACCGTTTTAAGGTATGAACAGTTCAGTAACCCTTAGTGCATTCACAGTATTATGCAAATTATCACTTCTCTCTAGTTTCAAAACTTATTTTTTTAATCACCCTAGAACATCCTATTCTCTAAGTAATCATTCCCCACCACCACTCCCCACCCAGGCAACGGCAACCACTAGCATTTTCTCTATGGCTTTGCCTATTCTAGAGATCCTATATAAAAGAAATAATAAAGTATGTGACCATTTGTGTCTGATTTCTTCCACTTCTCATAGTGTTTTTGAGAGTCTTCCAGGTTGTATCCTGCGTCACGGCATTCTCCCTTTTGGTGGTTGAATAATATTCCATTGTATCTATATACCATTTTGTTTATCTTTCTAATGATGGGCGTTTGGGCTGTTCCCACTTTTTAGCTTTTACGAATAACCGTGCTATAAACATTCATGTACAAGTTTCTGTGTGGGTATGTGTTTTTAACTTGGGTGTATGCCTAGGAGTGGCATGGCTGGGTTTTATGGTAATTATATGTTTAACTCTTTGAGGAACCACCTAATTGTCTTCCACAGTGGCTGAATCATTTTATATTCCCACCAGCAATGTAAAAGCGTTCCAATTTCTCCACATCCTTGCCAACACTCTTCTGTATTTTTTTTATTATAGCCAATTTTCAACAAATTGAGCTCACTTATAATAAGCATTTTCCTCTGTCATTAGAGATTCTTTGAAATCAGCATTTGACAGCTATTTCCCATTCTGGTTTTACAAGAGTTGTTTTTGTAATATTCATCTTATTGTTGGACACAGTTGGCATCTAAGTTTTAATTATTAATACTGCTACAATAAATGTTCTTGTACATCAATCTTTGTATTTCTTTTCTCTAGTCACTAGAATATATCTTCAGGAGTGGAATTACTTGGTAAAATAGTGTGGAACTTTTAAACTTTTTGATAAATATTACCAAATTCTTCCCAGAAACAGTACACAGATTTCTAGGACAGCATTCACTGAGTAAACAATCACTTTAAAAAAATAAAATCTTTGTTAATGGGCAGAAGTGGTAACTTATTTGAAATTTGCACTTTACCAATGAAATGCACTTTTAAAAAGTCTATTTTCATTTTTTAATGAATTGTCTTCTATCTATGTTTTTGTTTTTAGGTTTTTCTTGATTGTGCAAGTGTTTTTAATGTTAAGGGTGTATTCATGATCAGCTTACTAAGGAAATAAAAGCCTTGATCAACACACCAACTAGACCTAACAGAGAGGCACAGAACCTTCCACCCAATGATAGCAGAATACATTCTTTTCATGCACATACACGTGGAACATTCTTCTGGATACCCCAAGTGTTAGTCTACAGAACAAGTCTCAATAAGTTTAAAAAGACTAAAATCATACAAAGTACACCTAATGTAAACTATGGACCTTGAGTGATAGCAGTGTGTCCGTGATGCTCACTGACATTGACCAGTGCAGGAGACTGTGTGAGTGCGGGTGGGGGGCAAGACGTATATTCTATTTGCTCAGTTTTGATGTGAACCTAAAACTGCTCTAAGAAAGTCTATTAAAAACTAATAACTGGTGTGCTGACATAGTAATATGTGTATATATACATACACATACATACATTACATACCAAGGCACAGCCAACAATGTGTCTGAATTCAATGTCTTTATTAATGGGCAGATTATTCAATATTGAACAAGTATTTGCTCATACCCTGAATGGTGAAAGCTCTCCCCACCCCCATCTCCAAATTCTTCCTAACACAAATTTGGGGCAATGAAACTGCCCAGTAACATGGCATAACACATAGGGGAAAGCGAGCCTTTGTCCTCTCAAGCCCTTTTGGGAACAGATCCACGGAGTATGTAGAAAAGGATGGATCACTTTAAGTGTTCACTGAAATCCAAACTCCTTCAGGAGGGAGAAGACGGAAATCCTCAGAGGTCAGAAAACCATTGAAGTTTCTGTGTAATTGTCAACTGGATCCTTCTGGAACAGAGTAAGGCACGCTCTACCCCAGGGGTGATGGGACCAAGAAGGGACTGGCAATGCTACAGGTGAGTCTAGCAACGCTGTCTGTCTTGGGGAAGTCAGACCACCCCTTCAGCTGCGCTGCTGTGAAGCTGGAGCTAGACTGCGTACAGAAACGTGCTTTACGGCTTGCGGAAAGCAGTGTTGCAAACGAGTCGTGTGCCAGGACTTGCAGGCCCAAACAGGAGTTGGCAAGAGATTGATAAGAGAGAACCATACTTAAAACTGCCCTTCGGTTGCTGGGCATGTTATCTGTAGACCTCCAGCTGAGTGAAAAGTAAAGTCACGATGTCCAAACGTGACCCTCTGAGGTGTCAGGTTACTTCTGTTCCTCCAATAACACCAATCATCATAGTGTGACAGCCCACCTGTCAGCCGGAGTCTGCCCGCCTGGTCCACCCCAGCCCAGTTCACTGGCTCGGCTTAGATTCTTGTGCATTGACAGGTCTGCCAAATGGGAAACTTCCGGGTGTCTGGTTTAGTTTTATTGGACAGCAGGTGCAGTGTTGGACTACTTCTCTTGACACAGGAAAACTTCTGGACCATTCCAGTAACAGGTCAAACAACTGAGTTTATCAAATAAAGCCAGTTAGGATGTCAGTGTCCCTGTGAAAGGCTGTGGAACCCCCAGCTAACCTGACTAGATGTTGCACCCCAGGGCTCTAGGTCAGAAATTAAACAAACGCAAGGTACATCTAGTACACACTAGAAACCAATGCAGCACTCCTCAGTGGCATTCTTTGATTTGCTGGATTGTGACAGTCCAGCAGCGTTGGTGATTCAATGTCATCATAGGACAGG